CTCCCCCCACAGGGGGTGTTGGGGGCCCTTTTACGGCTGATAGAGGGGGATTGACGTCCCCCGGGGGGGCGGAGCCCAAATAACGGAAGGGGGGTTGATGGGGGCGGGGGCTGGGGGCAGGCCGAAAAGCCCCGTATCTTTATCCGGTTTTCCCCCCGGCCCCCGAATGGGGACGCTGCATATGCTGACGGGAAAGGGTGTGTCCCAACATTGGCCCCCGGCCCGCTTACTTTTGGCCCATAGTCGCTTTCGGTTTCGTTTACTTCCTCGGGCCCGGGTTGAGAAAAAATTTTCCCCCCAACCCCCGAGTAGGGAAACTTTGCCCCCCCCTACTCCCCCACCCGGCTGAATGCTTTTCCCCCGGCCCAAAAACGGCACCACTATGGGGCCCTGGGGGGTAGGCCCGCAGTGGAGCGGGTGCTTTCCCCCCCGGGGGCCGTTTGGAACCTGCCCCTGCTGCGACCCTGCTTTCCCTCCTGGCAACCCCCCGGGGCTTTTTTGCTCGCTGGCAAGCTGGGACCCTCTTTTTCCTGTTGTGCGGAAAGCAATTTGTCTGAAGACCGGGAGGCTGCCCAAATGCGTTTACCCCTTTATATCAAAAAAGGGTCCCGCCCCTCCCCCCCCCATCCCCTCCCCCCCCCTCGGCCCGCGGGGCGGGGCAAAGAAACCCGTCCCCCTAACCGGCAACCCCGGGGCCCCTCTCCTCGCCGTTTCTTCTTTGCCCGGCTGCCCGAAGAGGCGGGTGTCTCCCCCCGTTCCTGACCGCCTCTGTTTGCTCTTCCTCCCGGGACAGTGGGCCCGAGGCCCCCAGCATGCGAAAACTTCGCTTGGGGGAGGGAACACCAAAGGGACAGGGGCAGGGGCGAGGACCCCGTGATTTCAGTGGGCTTGCCCCCCGGGGGATGCCAACTAAAGGTTGTGTCTGACTTTTCCCACCACCCCTTTGGGGTGTAGGTGTTTAGAGGTGACCTGGAAAAAGGAAGACGACCCGGGGGTCAACCAAACGAAAAGACGGGGGAGGGTTGTCGGGGGGAGGCCGGACCCTGGAAGACACCGGGAGCCTGGCCTCTGGGTGTGACTGGTGCGGCACTTCCCACCCTTTTTCCCCTCCGGGCCCCCTTCCTTTCTCGCCTCCTGAAACTTGCCCCCCTCTGCCACCCTTGCGTGTTGTCGACCTTTCTCTTTTAAATTTAATAAGACCCCAAAAATAAAACCCGGGTTTAAAAACTTTGAACGTTTCCCAAAGTGGGTTTTTGAAAACAGAAAAAAAAGTTTAAATTTAAACACAATCCGGGCAATTGAAACTTTCTTTTGGCTTGGGAAACCCGTACGTTTATGTCACTTGGGGGATTCCAACTTTAAACACCCAAATAAATATTTCCGCCACCCGGCCCTGTATTAAAAGGATTTAAAATCTTTTAAAAATACAAAAGTGGTTGTGAAGCAGAAAAGTCAGTTTATTTAGGGACCAAAACGGTCAATTTTCAGCTTGCCGTTTTGGGCTTTTGGAAAACTTGTTTTACCCCTTTTATGGTTTTTTTACTTTTGGGAAAAAGAAAAAATTAAAAAACACCCCCAAATTTTTAAAAAAAAAAAAAAAAATTTTCCCCCCCACCCGGCCCTGAAATGGGTCCAAAACCCCCCTTTTAACGTACAATAGGGTTGTGGGAAAAACAGAAAGTCAGTTTTTTGAAAACAATCGGTCTAAAATTTTCAGCTTGCCGTTGGGGTGGGAAATGTACGTTTCTGTCCCCTGGAAAAGCACTAAACAACCCCAAAAAAAAATTACCGCCACCGGCGTGTTAAAAGGGTTTAAACCTTTTGAACTACAATAGTGGTTGTTTAAGCAGAAAGTCATTTTAAATTTTCACCCCTCCCCAAAAGCACACCAACTGTGCACGACCCGCCCCCCAAAAAAAAAAAGGGGGTATGTCACTTTAAATTTTTTTTCTTTGGGTTTCTGGGGGCCCCCAAAAAAAACCCAACCCGTGTCCCTGAGTAACGATTCTGTTCCCTTTTTTAACGTTTTGTGGAAAATTTTGGTGTCTCCGTGGCCCTAACTCGGGCCCTTAAAACAAAACGGTCTGTCCCCTTGGAATGACCGGAAAGGGGAAAGGAGGGAAATTTTAAAAATTTGGCCCCCATTTTACTTTCCCCCAAATTTCCCCAGTGCTGGCCGGCTGCTGATTGGGGTAATATCAAAATGTCCCTTTAAAGCATTAGGGGCAAACGCGCCTTGTTCGGGCCCCCTTCCCCCGGGGATCCCCCGCCCCTCTTCTCTGTCCATTTTTTTCCGTCGCCACACATGTTTGCCGCCATTTTTGGGAAAATTTCGTTTCGTGGGATTTCCCAAGGTTTTCCCAATCTTCGGGTTCGTCGTAATAGGAAAATTTTTCCCTTTTTCCGGAAAGAATTCCCCCTTCGTTCCCCCTTTTTTCCCAAATTTGCTCATCCTAAATTTCCAACCCCAACCCCAAAACCCCCAAAACGAAAACGCACCCCCCCTTCAAAAAGTATTAACCGGGCTCTTTTAAAATCCAAAGAACCCAAATCTTTAAATTTCCCAAATCTTCACCCCACCACAGCAAAACCCAGGTTTTTATTGGGTAAACAATTCCCCTTTTTCCCTGGGAAAAAAAAAAACCTCCCCCACTTAGATTTTAAAAACCAACCCCCAAACAACCCGAAAAAAAAACCTTTTTTCTTTCCCCAAACCATTTAAAAAACTAAATTAACTAAACCCCCCAAAAATTTTTCCCCCCTTCGCACCTCAGGGGGGGGAAATTTTTTTAAATTTGGCCCAGTTTTCGGGCCTTTTAAAATTTCTTCCCACCAAAAATCTTATACATTTTTTGCAAAGCTTTTCCCCCAACCAGGTTTTTCCCAAAACCTTTTTCCCCCCAAATTTCAAATCGTTTTCCCCTTCCAGTTTCCCTTAGGGAAACCCTCAAAAAAACCTAGTGACCCCCCAAATCTTTTAACACAGCCATTAAAAAAGGAATAATGCTACTCTTCTGGACCAAATACAGTATATGTTTGGTGGAACCCAACCAGAGAAAAAAATCTGGTCTACAATGGAAACCTTACCCTTTCTTCCACTTAAACTCAAAAATTTACTTCAAATTCCATCACTGTCACAAACAAATTAACAATTAAAGCACCATGTATCCAAGCCGCTCTTCAAGCCTGAACCGATATTCTGACCATGGAATACACAGATCCCAAATTCTCACCCCAATTGACATATTACATTCCATTACACCCTCTATGGACCTATCTCAATGGGAAAAAATGAAACATACATAACATAAGAGACCTCTATAAAGACCACACCCTACAATCATTTCAAAATTTTCAATCCAAGTTCAATCTCCCTACCACTGAATACTTCACCTATTTAAGAATCGTCCACTGTATGCGAACAAAGAATATACCTCACACCACAAAAATCCCTCATACTGCCTATCTTTTCTTTACCAAACCACAATACCCAGGTAAAGGCATCTCCACTTTCTACAAGTACATAACAAACCTGCAATTTGCTCTAAAAAATCTACCTATCTATCCAATTGGGAAAAAACCCTTTCAGAAAAAAGTACAACACAGACATGGAGCACAGCATTTAATACCACCTACAAATCATCCTGCTGCAGCTCGCACCGGGAATCATATTTAAAAATCCTCCACCAATGGTACCTAACCCCTGTCAAACTAGCCATGCATTTCCCAAAACACTCCTCCTCTTGCTGGTGACAATGTGAAGACATAGGCTCAACACTACACATATTATGGTCCTGTAAATCAAACAAATCCTTTTGAAACAGTGTCTTCCAACTAATCTCTGAAATACCCTAAACAGTGATAACCCCAAATCCTTCACTCGCGCTTTTACACATTGAGATTGAAAAATTCCCCTATAACTCTCGTACCATCATTGTCCATATACATTTCGCAGCAAAAATCAATATAACCAGATTATGGAACACCACTACTGCTCCTTCCCTCAAATCACTAATTATAGATCTTAATTTCCAATGCGAAATGGAAAAAAGATCCACCCAATACAAATTTAACTCCCAATGGACTAGCTGTTTACAACATGCTCAGTACAAGCCTGATATCTTACAAACAATTGAACTACTCACCCATTTTAGACTGGTACTCCTTTTTCCACCCCATTACACTTCCCTCCCCCTCTCCCTACCCTCCTCCTTATCCCCCCTTGTTTAATACCCCTTCACCATTTCCTACACCTCACCAAGGTTCAGTATATACAGTAACCAAGTCTACCTCTGATGCTAATGCCTTAATCCCAAGTTTTAGCCCCAGCCAAATGGTGGGGCAAATCCGTACCAATACTGTATTGTATGACTATACTTTCTACTGAACCGAGCGTCATTATTACTTTACTTTGTTATTGAAAATCTTCAATAACTAATAAATAAAATAAATAATTTTGTCTGTTCCAGTATCTTAACTTAATTTTTTTCCTGGGTTAAGCTTAGTGCATTTTCTGAATTGTTGTCCACTCTTGTCTAAGATTTTAAAGAAATTTAATGACCACTGACATTTCTTGGTCGCTAGCCTCTATCAGATATTTGGATCATGACTTAGCAAAAGATCTGGTTAAAATTGAGACTTGATATGTTTTGTGATATTAATTTGTTTTTTTAAATCTGTTGTCATTATTCACAACCATTAGTAGCTGTCAGAATCTGGATCTGAACCTGGAACCTCTGTGGTGTCTAGCTGTGCTTCTTTTTACAGTGCTGCCAGAGATGCTGGTCAGCTCCAGCCTGATTCCTTGGACAACGTTGCTTTGCGTCTTGCTTCTGTTGAACCTTGAACCCTCTGCTCCCCCCTAGAACATCCTGATTTAAGCCATGTCTCTGCACTTCCTATTTGCCAGATTGTTGTGCTCCTCTACAGCCAATATCTTAAAATTAATTGTGAGATATGCTTGTGAGCCACAAAAATTCTAAAGTGAATATCGTGCTATATCATTAATAATATGGTTGGCTGACATTAATACACATCCTCATAACCATGTGTTAAAAAAAACACAAATAATACCACTTAGATGTTGCGCTCCATCAACACTGCAATTGATATTGGTATTGAACTTTTATAAGTTCATTAATAAATCACCAATGAATTGTCATTAATCCTGTGCTTAATTCAAAATAATATTTGCAACATGTGACATGATTATAAAAATTTGTATAGTAAAAAATCAGATAAATTAAATGAATATTTAAATCTAAATAAATAAAAATAAATAATAAATAAAAAGAAATAAAATATTATAAATAGTGACAAAAAATTGAATTAATATGATCCAAGCGGTATCTATATTTCTTGTGTGAGTGCCCTCCGAATTTGAATATCAATATGCGCTAACCTCAATGAAAGCCTAACATATAATTTAGGCAAACATAGCTTTGTGTCCTAATAATGGCTGGATCTTTCAGCTGCTCTGTGTTTGCATTCTGCTGGATAATAGGTGTCCATTGGAGTTTCCTAGATGATCTGATCCTTAATTATGGATAGGAATACATGGACCATTCTTTGTGCTGAAGGATTACCCCTCCGTCTCTCCATTTCTCCTTATTTCTCCATCGTTTAGATATATGAAAGAAAGGAAATATAGTGCCTTAGCCTTTTAAAAAGCCTTTTAATTTGTACCCAATATGCTTATACACTCACAATCTATACATAGATATCACGCTTTGTATTAGATAAAGAGCCTTCTCTATGTGTGTGTCACACACAGCCTATACTCACCGTCTAGTCCTTGGGTGCGTGGTGATGTCAGAGACACTCCCCTACGCATTGCGCCACCGGGTCATGTGGTTTTGTCAGGGGGATGTGATAGCTACTCCAGTGGACACCTATTATCCAGCAGATCGCAAACGCAGAGCAGCTGAAAGATCCAGCCATTATTAGAACACAAAGCTATGTTTGCCTAAATTATATGTTAGGCTTTCATTGAGGTGAGCGCATATTGATATTCAAATTCGGAGGTCACTCACACAAGAAATATAGACACCGCTGGGATCATATTAATTACATTTTGGGACTGTCACTATTTATAATATTTTATTTCTTTTTATTTATTATTTATTTTTTTAGATTTAAATATTCATTTAATTTATCTGATTTTTTATTATACACATTTTTAAAATCATGTTGCATGTTGAAAAATTATTTTGAATTAAGCTAACAGTATTAATGACAATTAATTGGTGATTTATTAATGAACTTATAAAAGTTCAATACCATTATCAATTGCAGTGTTGATGGGGCGTGACATTTAAGTGGTATTATTTACAGCCAATATCTTGCCCCTGTTGCCCTCTATATCTTCACAACCACTTGTTAACAAATTTTGACTTGTCCCTCAACTACGCTACCACTGCATTCAAAGGATTTACATAAGTCACATGCTTTTTCTGCTAAAAAGCTATCAAAAGGTTTACGCTTAAAAGTAATAATAGTAATAAATCTCAACTTCATAACAACTGACAGTGGAAAAATAAGTTACATAGCATAGCTTGTGATCATCCTTTTGTGGAGTACCACACTATCATTATTATGGCACAAAGGTTAGAGAATATCTAAGCATCTTGACCAGGCTACAAGGTAAGAGAAAGATACTAGGAAGTTTTTAATAAAAAAAAATAAAATTAGAGTGTATTTTTTAAGAGATAAGAGCCTGAAATATTGCACAGACTCAAATTGGACACGCTATAGGCAATTTTAATACGTCACAGTGAAAGAGATAGAGAGCAAAGCAGGTTTTACGTGCAATACAATTTAAAGTAATAGTTCTGAGACAAAGGGTACATCATGTACATGTCATGTAAACCATTTTACTAAGCTGCAATGTGGGAAGGAAAGATGGGGCAGGTTAATTACAATTACAATTTAGAGTTTATTATTTCTGAGATGTTGTACAGGCTCAAAGTTTTATACTTTGAAAGAAATATTGTGCACACTGAATAGGCATTATTTCTTGTAGACCTCACTGGCTAAATCATATCCCCATAATTTTGGAGGAAAAAAAAGGTTATATTTTTCCTCATTAAACTAGAACTAACATGCTGCACATGTCATATATAATATTTCTGCAATTTCTAGTAGACATCTTTGCTTACAACACATCCTCAACTAATTTTGGAGGAACAACCAAAAAATGTATATTGTTTCTGATTAAAATAAAAGTATTATGCTATACGCACAACATTTGCAGTATTTCTACAATTTCTTCAATGCCTACTCTACATCCCCATTTATCTTTGTAGGTCAAAAATACAAATTAAAATGTATATTTTTCTGATGAAAACAGAATTATCATATTACAGACAACATATGCAATATTTAGTGTAGGTCTCATTGCCTAAACCACATCCCAATTTAGCTTCGGAGGTCAAGAAACAAAATTAAGTTGATATATTTCTGATTAAAACAGACAGCATATGTAGTATTTCTACACTGTATTGCAGGCTTTACTGCCTACACCACATGCCTATTTTGCTTTGGAGGTCTAAAAACAAATCAAAGTTGATATTTTTCTGATTAAGATAGAAGTAATACACTACAGACAGCATATGTAGTATCTCACATATAGCATACATAGCATATCTGTTAGACAACTTTATAACATACCGTAGTTATATGGTGCCACAGTGGCTCTCGTGCACTGGATCATATACCTAGTACAAGATTTACACTCCTGGGCACAGCACCGATCAGTCAGCAAGTCCAGGTCAATGATTTTTTCACAGAAGATCTGTTATCAATTTATTGTGGACCAAAGCAATTTATATGTCAATCAGTACATTGCTGCCAACCCAAACTCATAACTTGCCAGACAATTTGAATTAAAATGTATCACAGTTTCCAAGTTTAAAAATTTTTTGGGGCCTAACCTTTAAAATGAGAGACCTGATTCATCATATGCCCATGTTCTTTGTTGCCATGGCCAGGTGTAGATATGAGAATATAAAATGATTTATGCATTTCAACAAAAATACACTATCATCCTCAGGGTGACCCTGAATATGATCGGCTCTACAAAATTTGGCTCCTCGTAAATCACCTTTCCCAGAAATTTACAGATATGTATACACTCCAACAAAACATCTGTGTACATGAGCCCCTCACAGGGGCAGACTGACCATTCAAGCACTCGGGCACTGCCTAAGGGCCCAGGGTCAGTAGGGGGCCCCATGAAATGCCCCTGGTACCTTTTATAGGCTTTTTTGGGTGTGCTTTGAGTGTGGGCAAGGACACAGGGGCCCCATGATCCCCTATTGCCTAGAGGCCCCATGAGTTGTCAGTCCGCCCCTGGCCCCTCATTAATTTTTCTGGCAGCCTTCCATTCATTCAGTATCTCCCCAGCAAGCTTGCCAGATCTGGGGTCAAAATGTATAAGCTCTGTGAGAGGGAAACAGGCTATACATATTCTTTTAGGATTTGTGAGGGCAAATATAGTCATGTGGAGCCCCCTGGATGCCCAGACTACATGAGAAGCAGTGGCAAGATAGTATGGGACTTGGTGTCACCCTTGTTCCAAAAGAGGTACCACTTGTACGTGGACAACTACTATGCAAGCGTACCACTTTTTAGACACTTACACAATCTTGGAATTGGTACCGTAATCTTGATCATATGGTACCGTACAATCTCATTGTAGGGGCTTCCCTCAACAGCTTATAAATACCTGACATGTGGAATGATTAATTGCTCACAGTGAGATAGAAGGACAAGTGGGATGTTTTCGTACATTCTTCGATTAACGTAGATATGACAGTCCAAATTTTCACAGCTTCTGCTAGAGGAGATTTCTCATCCACAGTTAAAAAAAAAAAGGAACACATATACCCAAGCATTATGGGGCTGGGGGGGGGGGTGGGGGGGTGGGGGGGGGGCAGTGGGTGGATTGTTTCTATGCTTTGGCATATATTTTTTCACTTTTTTTTCTGACAGATTTCTTCATCCACATTGATTGATGTGAATGGAGGAATCTGTTAGATTCTTTAAAAAAGAACATTACATGTATGCCCAACATTAGAAGTGGGTGGATGCAGGGCAGTAGATTCTAATGGTTGGCATACCACACACTTTTTCTGGCACAACTTACTTCATCCACATTGATCTATGTGAATGGAGGAATCTATTATTTTATCTTTTTTTATTCAGCCCACAGGCTGCATAAAAAAAGAACATTACATATATGTCCAACAAGGACCAGTGACGTACAAGTATGGTACTGATATGGTTATACTAGCATGATGCCTACAGTTTCAGGCGTCATCCTGGTATCATTTTTATCAGACTGTGGTCAACTTTCATGTAAAAGCAATCCTAACAGCTAGTTATCTGCTGGATTGCTTTTTAAAAGCATTGAGTGGGGATGCCCCCATCTTCCACTGCCTTCCACAGCTTCCTTGGGCTCTCCTGTCTCACAGGGGAACTTATATCTCTGATATCTCTGATGTCAAGACATCTCTGATGTCAAGATCTTCGCCAA